GCTTACATTCTAAAATATCATTGATATAAAACCACTTATCATCTTTTTGTATATTTTTAAAGCATTTTTAAATTATAGTCGTGACTATAATACAAAAAAATATATTATTTGATCATAGTTAATTTGTGAGAAAATATATTAAATTATGAAAAGGAAAACTTTGTCTGTAACAATATCTGACGTATCAAAATTTTCATAAATGATTTTATTGTAAAGTATTTGAACAGCTTAGGTAATATCATCGGGACTTATAACGAATAAACGTGGTCAGTACGATTTTTTTATATTTATCAAATAACTACTATTGAGAAACTATGATATTTATATTACTCCGAGTTGAAAGAGAGTTATTCTTTCAGGGTAACTAAGATATGATGCCACTGCACAGACTTTCCTACATTAGCTTCTAAAAAAATTTATTAAATGATGAATCATAATTTTACTATGTTAAGATAACAATAAGTTATTAATATTTTAAGTTTTAATAGACAGCAATTATAAAAAAAAATTTTTTTTTAATTTAATGTAATTTAATTTATTTGTACCTTTTCGTACATTGAAATTATTACCAAAAAACATTAACAATATTCATTTTTCACATCCTTTTTGTTTTTTTACCTTTTATAAAAAAAAACCTTAAACACATTTAAAATAAATAATTACAGTAATATATAAGGATATATTTTCTTGATTATACATTTTTATAATATGATATATTACATAAGTAATGTGAATATGAAATAAAACAAAATATAATAATTATAAAAAAAAATAAGTGAATATAACATATTACATTGTTTAACAAAGTTTCAAATGGCAAATTAAATTATCCCCTGACAAAATTTCTATTTAATTATGAACTTCTGAGTAATAAAATGTAATAAACTTGAAATATTCGGAGGCGCTATTGTTTTCAATGGCCCTAGAGTAATCATTTTCACTCAAATTTCGTTGTATAAATGTTCATGAAAAGTATATAGTTATTATAGGTATATCTATTACTTTATATTAGGCTAAATTAAGTATAAAATATATAAAAATAAGCATAAATAACCCAGAAATTGCTTCTTTATTCTAAAAAATAAAAAGGAAAGAATTTTAGACTGAAAATTAATTGGTAACCTCTAAATTAAAAAAAAAAATAATCGCTTTCATAAATATCAAACATTATATAAATATCATTTATTCTTATAAATAACAAATATGCATGTTTGTTGTATAGTAAAATAAATAGGCACTATGCTAACAAAATAAAAATGTTCTCATATTAAATTATGCTAAAATTATGTAATATGCACAGATTTAAAGTTCTGATATAAATGAAATACATTTAAAAAAATCAAACATGTATTATTAATTCATATTTATTCTAGAGTTTATTAATCTGTCATAAGACGAAGACTTATATTAATAAGGTTATTCAAAAACTGCGCAATTTTTTTATGTTTATTAAGAGTATTAAAAACTATTGTACTGAGTAACACGTAAAAATAACGATGTATAATATATTTTTATGAAAAATAATTTTAAAAAAAAGTTTTGATGGTTAAAGCATACTTATAATAAAAACAAACTCTTAAAAGAATTTATCGTAAGAACATGTTAATAATAAAATAAATAATTACTATTCTTATGTACTTTTTAATAATTACATATGTACTATTTAAATGCATCATAAAACATTCTAACCTCAGAACAATTATAAATAACAAATTTAAAAAGTATTCTTTAATAGAATTTAATAATTCAGTTTGTTAATATCAAACCCATTTTTCAATTTATTTTTATACAAGAAAATGATGAAATATAACAAAATTTGCTAGGTTTTAAACTTCTGATTCATTAAAACTATTATTTATTTTGACTCGCATCCTGATTGAATTGAAAGTAAATACAAAATATCCTTCTCAAATTTATTGTACAATAAATGTACAATTACAAATATAATCTAGACATTACATTAATCTATATCTGTAATGACGACAACAAATAAAATAAATGTAATAAAATTTATATAAAATACTAAGAACAAATATAACTCACTTAAATTGTAAACAAGTAAAGTACTTTTTCGATGAAAATAGTTGAGTTTGACCGCATAAACTAAATTTTAAGGTTAACAATTCGTCTGTGGACAATAGTTCACTACATATACATGATTGACACATAAAATACTATTTTTATAACTCTATATACTTATTAATTAATATATATTCCAGTATTAAATAAATTTGTTTAGTTAGTTTAAAAGTATATGTGCGATAACTATTTGATATAATGGTCATAAATTTATCATAGAACAAAAATAAAATAAAATCAGAGAGTTGTCTTTGTAATACACAGTAGAAAACGTAAATCCTACCTGAGATTTTCCTTTTTAAAGATTTATTATAAATTATATATACTATGCATTAGGATCAATAGATACAATGATTTATATTTTCAGAATGTGATATTTGATCAAAAAATATATGAAGTTAACATTTTTTCATGTTATATTATTAAGTTATTATATTAATTCAAATGATGTTTAGAAATAATAAAAATAACGAAATTTACAATGAATCAATACTTTACTTATTCAACTATTAGTTTTAAGAAATTTTAATAATTGAATAGCAAAAATAATTTCAATAAACACGTAATGAGTTAGAGGCGAATAGGAGAATTGAGAAAATCTCAGTGGGCCCTTTCAAATTAGGGGTATCCTTGTAAATATTTGAAATTACATTTTATAGTAATTATAATACTATTATATAATAACTAATAACAATAAAATATCAGCCTTAATTTACGACTCAAGTAAATACAAATAGTTAATTAAGTAAGTAGAGTTCATTTATCTATAGTCAAAATTCCTTTAGGTTTGGCAGGTGTCTATTTGAAACAATTGATAAACAATTTTTAACCGGATATAAAGTGATGTCAATTTACATCGTCTATACCACACGTTGTGTAATAATATAAAAGTGTTACTTTGTTTTCTGTGCCAAGTTCATTTGATTTATTAAATAATTTAAAATTAATTCTAAATAAATGGCTGAAAAAAATAGGAAACACTTTTTGAAAAAACTAGCTCAAATCCTTGATAACTTGCGATTTGTTTTTCTTCCGTATAATGAACTTGAGAAGTAATTTTGAAGGGAGCAACTGTTAAATAATAATTGATAGGCAAAGAAAATACATCGAAGGAACCTCAGGTAAATATCTATGGGCATTGTTTTCCCAATCTGGTATTGTAAGTTTATAATAAAAATAAATAGGATTATTATAATTATAATAGTAACATTATGAATTTTTATATAATTAATAAATTGTACGTGATATTTTAATTTAAAAATTGCTTTGGAAATTTTAACATTTGTTATTTTATTATATTTTTACAATACAATATTCATAAAATATTTCTCAACATTTTTCTTCGTTGAATAATATTCTGAAAAAAGATAATAATTCGAAAATATTGCGTCATTTTAACATATGTTAATTTAAATCTTATGTTATATACTACAAAAAAAATTGTTTTGACGACTTGTCTTTTATGCATCAACGGCCTTCGAAATTCAACAAAAAATTTTATTTCATTGTAAAAAATCAACGTTTTCTGTGTTGTAGTATTCTATTCAAATTTTTGTGTCTATACTTTAGATCAAACAGTATAGTCATAAAGGAGGGGAAGATAAGTATCTATATCATTTTCAAAAAATAAAAAGTAATAAATAAGTTTTAAGAGTTAAATATAAATATTTTCAGGAGAAATTTTTGCAGCTTTTATTGTATGTTAAAAACTTTTCCAAAAAAAAATATTTTCTCGCTACCCACTTGATTATGATCAATTGCATTAAAGCGTAAGCAATATGATTTAATTTTAAAATAAAATGTTTTGTTGATTTGTCTTCATAATACTTTTATGTTTTTCTATCAAAAAATTCAAAATGTATATCATTCATAAGTGCATAAAAGTGTAAAAGTGCGATGTTCTAAAATCTTGTTGATTTTAGATGATGCGAGGCCCTGGCAATCTACCAAATTGTCTGGCTAAAGTAACGACACTTCTCATAAGGGGTAAATATAAATTAACATAAATTATGACCGATAAATCATGTATCTAAATAAATAAATGCTTATATTATATTAAATTTTTCTATTAATTAAGTGTCAAATGATAAAATTATATTGTATACATAGAAATTACTTTTTAGTAATAACAGTACTTATGTATAGTTAAAATAATAAAAATTATTTGGTATAACTTTATTTGTACAAGTATAATACTTAAGTTCTAGTTTAGCATCTTTTGATAAAAATTATGAGATATAGCAACCCACAACTTGAACAGATAATAATGTTGTGCTATTATTCTTATCATTGAGATCATTCGTCGGGCTTTAGATAAGAAAACAATGGTTAATTTTTTGCTTATTAAATTGTAATAAAATGTAAATTGCATTAAATTTTTATTGATTTTCATTGAGTCGGCAATTTTAATTGGAAGGGGGGATAAATATATCACCCACTTACTTTTTTCATAATTTACTATAGTAAAGATTTAAAAATAACATATTAAAGTTTATTTTCAATTAAAAATACATATAAATTATTTTAGCTAAAACAAAATAATAATTAACTATAAAACTAAACAAAAATATAATAAAAATGTGTAGTTTAAAAAGTATGCTTCAATAATACATTATCAAGTCAATATTAAATTTAAAAATTCGAAAAAAAAACATAATGAACACAATATAAATCTGGTTTTGATAGTGTAATATAAGTTAAATATTTGAATAATTTAATAGGATAACTTAGAAAAGGATATTAAATTAAAAACGTTATTAATTGATAATTAATAGTACTGGTCTCATAAATCAATTATTGTAAGGCTATCGACGCTTTGGATGTCAGTGTACTTGAAATACTGCAAGTTCATTTAGATCATCATTTATTAAAAAGTTTCAATTATGACGTTGTCCGTATTAAGACTAATAGGAATGTTTGTAATAATAATTTTTCTAACTAATTGGCAAATGCTCATGCAAATAAGATCGATTGCCTCCTTCAGAAAATTGAGCTGCTGCATGACCGTCACCTTTTAATATCCATTTGGTAGTAAGCAATCCTTCAACACCTACAGGACCTCGAGCGTGAATTCTTGATGTGCTAATACCAACTTCAGCTCCTAAAAACAATGTAACTATTAATTAAGCTAAACATACTTTAAACAGCCTTAATTAATTATACACACTGAAACTAATAAATATAAATATTACCAATTAACTTAGTATGATTGAAATAATAAGTATTATATAAGTAATAAGAGTAGACATACAAATAATTCATTTAGCTGACAACTAAAGTCATATAAAACAGTTAAAACTTTGATATAAATATGAAAAAATACTAAGAATTCAATTATGTTTTTCATTTAAATTCATTAATCAACTAATAAATATCTCGTAAAGACGAACGAATTTTAATTAGTCAATTCTTGTGAATAAGCAAGCTGTGCATAAGCTATCAAAATAACTTTTTTAGATTATTTTTTTTTTAATATCTTAGTATACAAACTTTAATTGAAATTGAAACAAAATTTTATTTTCTATGCAGTAATTATACTATCCAAATGAATGTGATGTATGTATTTTGCATAATAGTGAAATAACAAGTTGCATTAAAAACTTGTCAACCTATTAACAATCTCATAACAGAACTTGTGAGATTACTTTGGTACAAAATGACATCCTATTCACATACACAAATTATTTTAAGAAATTCTTCATCTAATGATACATGCAATCAAAATAAACTGATTATGAGAAGTTTAATTAATTTATACAACTATTAGTAATTTTGTAAGTTACTTTAAAATAAACTTTGCAATGTACTTTTCATACATAGTGTGAGTATTGTTTTATAATTTTATCTTTATTTGAAAGTACACCTATGTAGTTAATGTAATTATAACATACAACAGCTAATATGATAAAAATTTTATCAATAATTTGAATCGAATGATACATAAATGCACGAAAAGCTAAATAAAATATTTTATTTAAATTTAATTATGAATATTGAATAAGAGCATTGAATAACAAATACGATAATAAAATATATATTATAAACATTTTATATGTTATCTTAGTCGTTCAAAAACATTTCATTTTTTATAAAGAAAATACATTGAAAGTTCTAAAAATAAGAGGATTATTTCTTTTTAATATTTTATTAACATTTTTGGCTTGAAATTACAATATCGTAGATATCAAAATGATATCTAACCCAATCGCCTGTTGTTTGTTGATTTGTTTTTTACCATTCGAGAAAAATTCGTCCAACTGTAGTGTCAGTTCTATATCACTTTAGTTAAGATAAATGTACGAAACGTAACATTGCGATTAAGCGGATTTAAAAGATGAGCATCCACACTACATTTACTGTATAAACTTCAAATTCGAGAGAGTGGCATACCTTTCAAGAGGATAGAAGAGTGTAATCCCTTGATAAAATATGAGATGGTACATTATATATTATTTTTTTCAGCATCCACGGTAAAATTTTCCGATAGTTAACAATTTACATTTATAAAACATACAGTACATCAGAGTAAACCTTATGAGTATTAACATTCTTAGAGTAAACAAAGTTATTACACGTGTACACGAAATTATGAATCGCATCAGTCAATTTTCATGACAACATTTTTAATTAATTATTAATTTAGGTCTACGAATAAAATAAATAATTAATCTTTCAGATCATGTTTGATTTAAAATCTTAATGAAATGAAGTTTTGCATTTAATTAATATACTTTTATGCNAGATCATGTTTGATTTAAAATCTTAATGAAATGAAGTTTTGCATTAAATTAATATACTTTTATGCAAAAATACTTATTATAATAAGTTTTTTTAGCATAACAAAATCATAATATAACAATTTAGTGATTATTTTATTAAATAATTTAATTTAAATTGCCATGATATAATTTACGGGTATATATTGCTATTTTTCGTACACAAAATGCAAACGTTGTTAGAAAATTGAAATATATTTCAAATTTATTTGTTCTCTTAAGTTTTACATAGATTCGGATACAAAATATTCAATTAATACATTAGCATTTTTTTTCTAAATACTATTATCACAATACATCACCGGGGTTAGCAGTTATACTATATTATGTTTATGGATACAGACTAAACCCCTGCGTTTTTTAACATGGCTTTAAAACTCGTTAATAAGATTTTTTCAAATAAATTTCAACGTATACATAGATAATTCTATAATGAAGATATATTATGATTGGAGATTCAACTATAGTTGTGTAATGTATAGGTTTACATTGTAAAGCCTCTACGGTGACCTTTTTATTTCGAAAAAATGATAAATCACATGTTGACCAATCGTTTCTTAATGTTTACGTTGGTATTCGAATTTTTAAAGTAAATCTCATTGATTTTATTAAAAACGAAAATCATTAGCTATACTCAGTGGTATATGAATCTTAGGTATCGTATACTAGCTTTACAAACAAATAAAATTGACCTACACCATTTCTTTTTCAAGACGTATCGTATATATTGTGTACAGTTTTATAGAATACCTANTTTCTTTTTCAAGACGTATCGTATATATTGTGTACAGTTTTATAGAATACCTATTTTTATTTTTCTGAAATAAAAAGATAATATATAGGCGGATCTTGTATTACACAACAAAACTTGTTCTGATCAATACGTAATATAATTACAAAATTATCAGTATTCTCGAGATTTTCCAAGAATAGGATTAATATTTATCACGAGGACTCAAACAAAAGAAATTAACCCAGTAGATTGGGAATACCACAAGTTTTGATATCTGATAGTGATTAACATCACTATCATATAAAATGCTTTGAACACTAATCTGTTAAATTTCACAATAATTAGTATATTTTTAATTTTATAATTTCTATGTTTTTTAAAATTCCATTGGTTTATTAAATTATTTGCTTAATTGATAATACCGTATTTTTTAAAAAAAATTTGCGAATTTTATTTATTTTATGGACAATTTTTACAGTAGAACAACCATGAGGACAATTTTTTTTTAAATTGTAATACGTTTCAAGGGATTTAATTTGGTATAGATTAGAAAAACAATATGTTATAATTTCATCAGGATCAAAATTTAAAAAGTTATAGCAGTTTTAAAATGCAGAAAAAATATTGAAAATAAAGTTTTTTCTATTATCTGTTGTTATATTAAAAGGCATGGAAAACCTACAATTGAAAGCTTTTTAAAAAAAAAACTATTTTAATGATAATGAATATGATTACCTAGTCCAAACCTATAACCATCAGCAAATCTAGAACTGGCGTTATGAAACACACAGGCACTGTCAACATCTCTTTGAAATTTTGCGGCATTTTCACCTAAGATATAATGAGTTATTAAAAGGAACTGTTGTATGATGTTCTATAAATTCTACTTAGTGTATCAGAAAAAAATTACTCACTATTCTCAGTAATAATAACATCAGTATGTCCACTTCCATAAGAATGAATATGATTGATAGCAGAATCCAAATTGGAAACTAATTCTATAGTACATGACAATTCTCCGTATTCGTGTCTAAGTGATTTAGCTCTCGGTGGGCCAAAAGTCAGACGTTTTGATAGCTCAGGACCAGAAAATATTTTTACCTAAAGAAAACGTTTATATGTAATAAAATGCTTTAATATTTGTAGGAAAATTCTCTAAAAAATAAAATCAGAAATTTAATATACATAAAACAAATTACTATTTATCAAAAATAATAACATACAAATTGTTCAATGGACAAATTTGAGTTAGAAAAACAATTATTATATATATTTAATAATTTACAGAAATTAAAAATTTTATCCAAGTTTAAGTAAATTTTAGTATACAACGAATAATCAGAAAATACTTTTTTGCGAAGCAGAGACATAGATCTTTAAGACTAAAACTTATTTTTATTCGATAAAGTTTTTTAACAGTTTATAATAAAATTCAACTGCATAACTGAATTCATGTGGTAATAGACAAAGAGCTTACAACATAAAATTAATGTCATTTTTATTAAAGGTTTTATTTACTCTTCTTTTTATGTTTTTGTTGAATACTTCTTATCCAAAAATTTCATTTGATATAAGGACATAAATACAGACTAACTGATAATCCACATATTTTTAATGGAGTAGAATATAGATTTATGACAATATTTAGTAAAAACTACCTTAATAAGAGACCGTGGTTAAAACATTGCTACGTTCAATCCATATAAAACTAGCAATATTTACTAATCTTGAACTAGATATCTCGAAATGTAACTTTTATATGATTGAACGTAAAACACAAAAATTCGGTCTGTCTTATTATATTCAAAATGATCTGAAACGACCAAAGCACGAAATATTTTGGTCTCTCTAGACAAATAATAAATCATGATATTGAATTCTAATTCCTAACATAATAAACATAAAGTAACTAAAGAAATATTTAAAAGGCATGTTCATTTGAGCGCTGCTCGTGCGTATCAACCAAGCGTCGACAGATTTGATAATTTATAATTGGCAAAATTCAATAATAAAAAAAATAAGATTATAAAATATTTTAATAAAAATGACGTTGAATTTACATTGTAAGCCCTTCATTTATAAGTGAATTTGAAGTAGTCTACATAAATTAAAAAAATATAATTATTACAAAAGTTTTTCATTACAAGTATAATATTATCTTGCACATGATAAAAAAATACTGATAATTATACAAACCTCTTCTCTCTTAAGCATATCGCAAACATCGCTGAAAAACGATCCTTCAAATAGATCTTCGTGAATAAGTAAAGTTTCCATGGCATTACATGCAGCAGGATAATCACATTTCGAATCACGAACTAGCGTAAACATAATAATAATCATAATTAAAAACATATTGTTAAGCATAAATACATCTGGAAAAGTAAGGAAGGCTTAGCCAACCAAACGATGTATTAGCCCCCCAAAAATCTAGAAATTTATGTAAAGGACGGAAGAGATCTAACTGGCAACTACTAGAACTTTTAATACAACTAATAATATCTCTATAATTTCTTTTTTTTAATAGTTTATTTATTTATGGACTACGGAAAATCAGAGCTCAATTCGAAGCTAAAATGCGATACGAAGCGGCGAAGGTATTAATTTTACTATGAAGTGTTTAATTTTTATATTTTGCTTTGTGTATGACTGTCGTCATTATTCTCAACTCTGACTGGATCGATTTTTGTCAACAATACGTCAAAAGTAAGTAAATTTTATCAATTTGAAGGCATTGTCCTCAAAAAAATTCTCTTATTCCCCGTAAATAAGATAAATAAATAAAATAATGCTCCAAAAAAATTACAATTTTTAAAATCGATAAATGTCATGTTGACATTTAATATGTTATTAAAACATTTTTTTTTTAGCAATTTTAACTTTTTTTAAATGGATGAATTAAAATTGTTTTTTTATAAATTTCTAAGTATTTTTCTTTTTTTTTTAAATATTTTTTTAATTACTTTATTCGTAAGCTTTTTATCCGACATGATTTTTTTTTTTTACATCATACTATATTTCCTATATATAAAGGAGATCAAACTTGAAACATACTTATAAAAAGTAGAATTCTTTTAACTTTACTTTTGATAATAATTTGAAAATACTATGTCTTTTTAGCATATGTTAAATTAAATCTTATATTACATACTATAAGTTTAAAAAAATTTCCCTAGAGACTTGTTTTTTAATGTGTAAACGGCCCCGAAGTTAAACAAAAAATGTTATGTCATTGTAAAAAATCAGCGTTTTCTGTGTTATAATTTCAATTACTTATACCTATACTTTAGATCAAACAGTATAATCATATAGAAGAGGGAGATAAGTACACTCATTTATCACTTTTACAAAAAATAATAATAATAAATAAGTTTTAAGAGTTAATTAATTTTCAAGGAGAATTTTTGCAGCTTTTAATTTCAAACCAATTTGTGTATTAGAAAAGTGGTCGTCTTTTCCAAAAAAAAAATGTTCTAGCCATTAATTGCTTATGATTAATTATAATTTCAATTTCATAACTAAAATTATAATTACCTAACCCGAGTCAGAATGATAGAACTTTCTTTTTTTTTTTCATCTATTCTATTGATTATTTTACACTATTGCGATATTAGAAGAATGATGTACAAGAACTATGTTTCGTCTAGCTGGGGCTCAACCCAGACCCGTTGGCCTACGTTCCTCACGAGCCTACGGCGCATTTGGCCCTTCGTGCTGTTATCATTTGTAAGCCACTAATTTTGATAGGAATACCCGGCTGCGACGGGCGCGAAATGTATGTAAAAAAATTATAAATCCAAAAGCAGTTTACCAGAAAAACTGTCCCACTCGTACTTTAGACTACGTTAACCAATTTTATTATCTTTAGTTTATGATAGTGATTTTAATAACTGTTAAATGTCATCTAGACTTGCCCCAATTATGTCACGTCCTCACTGTACTGCGACCCCACTGCGCTACCATTTTTTAAACTTTTATAATAAACTTGTAACTGACAATATAATTTTTTTTTTAACTAACTGAACTTCAACTAAACAGAAAAAATCATTAACTTGCCCAGCCTTGTACAATTGGTATAGTCACAACTCTAATAAAAATAGTTGGAATAACTAAATTAATACACCCAAAGAAAAAGCTCAATCAAAATTGAAAGAGAAATTTTATCAAGGGTTTATGATAATGTTTTATTAATACGAACAAAATAACTATTCTTATAAATAATTATTGTTCGAGACAAGAAAAAAAAATATCATATTGATAAATATATCATTGATTCAATAGTAATGATATATTTATCAAATTGAACAATGAATTTATTATATAGATCGAGGTTTTTCTCTGGGTGTAGTTGGCTAACCGAATATTCAGTTATTTCAACTGTATTAATTGCAATTGTCACTATAATAACCGTCTATAAGGTTATTCTAACCGTATTTCTTTTCGTGTACTTTCAATTTTGATACACGTTTGCCACAGAGGTAACAACTACTTTATAATTTATCAGTAAAAATTACAATACTAAATAATTGAATGATAATTTCATCCTAAATTAAATTATTAAAACAAATAATATAAAATAAAATGTTAACATAGTCTAGGAATACATAAATTATTTTTAAAAGATTACAACGAAATGTTGATTATATCACAAGTTATAGAAGTTGTCAGTTGAATCTATACCATTTTTCATATTATTATATAAAAATTTTAGTGCGAGTGAAAAATCAATTAAGCACCCCCAACAATTGTATTTTAGTTGCGCTTAGATTGTTAAAATTATTAACTATTATCAGAACTCGAGACTTAATGTATTTATAATACTTATTTTAGTCGTCCCGAGTACATAAACGATAAATAAATATTCATGTTAGTTTTTCTTAATACTAAACAGTAATATTAATTTAAAATTTAGTGGGGACATAGTTAAGATCNATTAATTAATATTAATTTAAAATTTAGTGGGGACATAGTTAAGATCACTTCCATAACTGCAAAAAGTCCTGACACCTTTTTCTTATTGAATTGTTTTAATAAACCTTAAATAGAGGCTTTACAAAATTAATGTTGTAAATTTGACACAAAAATTATTTTTAACCTAAGTTTTTTTTTTCTTTTATTAAAGGACATAATAATGAAAAAAATCATAAAGCTGATTACTTACTTATGGTTAAAGCTTTTTCAAGATTGGCATCTTTGTCCACATAGACATGACAAATCCCTTCAGCGTGTCCCAAGACAGGAATGTGTGCACTTTGGTCTTGAATGCTACGGACCAATTCAGAAGATCCACGGGGAATAATGAGATCAATGTGATTCTCCATTGAGAGTAGGTCACTAATCTCTTCCCTAGTAGATACCTATAAAAATAATGTAAGTGATTATACGAAACTTTGATAGCATAAAATATCATAAGACTTCGCAAGTTTTCAGTACAAGATATGAATTGATTTGTCCAAATATGCATGACAATCATTTATTATATTTTACACGTGAAATTATTAATAATAATTTTAACCCAAATTAAATAGAAAATTTTTATCATCCATCAAAAACGGCCATATATAAGCGATATTAAAATTAAATGGTATCATAAAGATCAGTTCTTAGAATAATTAACAATAATATGCAATTTTTATTGTTTACTTTGATGTTATTTCAATTTTTTGTAATAATAATTTTATTTTTACACTAGCACGTCATTAGTATTTATTTTTATTGTTAAACGTTACTATTATTTATTAACTACGATTACATAGTTATAATATTTCCGGGTAAAAACACCTTAATGTTGTAATTTATATACGTATTCATAAACAACTAATGTTATGTAAATGAACAGAAATAATGTTATCTGAGACTCATGTTGAATATAAAACAGACAATGTAATTTAAAATAATAACTTACCAAGGAGATGGCATCCTGAGCGCCGACGGTACTTAACGCTTCCTTAACAACATTCATAAGCGCTTTATTACTGTGTGAGGCTTCTTTACCGCCTTTCAATAATAGTCCATTTGCTGAACTAAGAGCAAGAGCAGCTACCTTTAACACACAAAAATTAAAAAACTAATTTTTTCAAAATGCATTATATTTATAGTAAGTTTTATTAAAATTATACTGTAATTTTTATAAAAAATAAAACATTATACAAAAATTTCTAAAATAAAATTTTAGAGTATAATTGCTATCATGATAATATTTATCTTATTTTTACAAACTATATACAACTTTGTATTTTTATTTTGAAATAAAAACTCTATTGGCAAATTAGTAAACAATAATTGGAGAATTTTTTATAACAAAACTAAAAATTGTTGTACATTATGTAAAAAAAAAAACTACATTTATAAATTAATAATAACAATACACATAATCATCGTATTAATTAAACGTAAAAATAACTATCAAAAAAATAAAGACTAGCGATAATAACTTAAACGAATACCTACTGAAAGATTAATTACAGACAATTAACATGAATAAAGTAAATTGACGTTATGCAAACTCTACTGATTAACCAGTGTAATCCAACTGAGATAAATAATGTAAACATACAGTGTATATGTGAATTTTAATTGACATTATCATAACTAACGTTTATTACATTTATAGTAAATTGAGCCACGACTTGAGAAATCAAGCTGTACATAATAAACTTCAGTGAAGATATTAAAATTATATAATTACCTGTGGCAAACAATCAGGGCGAGATTCAAATATGACTAGTAGGACTCCAATAGGAACTGTAACTTGAGTTAATTCCAAACCGTCGGCAATTTTTGTTCTTTTCAAAACTTTACCTACATTGGTAAGGCTAGTTTCAGCAATTTGCTTAAGTCCTTTAAAAATGTTATCAATTTTTAATATTTTTGATATTTAAATTATTAATAATAATAAAATATTATTTATATAATATTTATTTATAAAACCATAGTATTTCATTCGATTATATTTATAATTATAATTAGTTATAATATGTTTCCGATTAGTTGCGTAGCCAGAGGAGTTGCATCCTCCTCCCCTACACGAAATTCTCGAGTAAACTAAATATTAAATAATAAAAGAACATTCACTCTTAAAAAAAATATTTGAATTTTCAGATAAATATACTGAAATTTTTTAGCACATACAATGTAAGGAAAAATTAATAAATAGTAATAAAAATGTTATATTTGTGTACGAATTTTTGATAATTTATGTCATAATTATATAAATGCAACATTTATTTTTCATGAACTACTAAAAATTTACCAACTAAAATGTTTTATAAAACACATGAAAAAGTTAAGAAAACGTAGCCTTTATTTAATTTAAGAACTAAGACATGAAAGGGCCAAGTGATCCAAGTACAAAAAATTTGTTTTCCGCGAAATCAATGAAAACTATTCTATTTTCGCATAAAGAACCATTAGTATCTACCTTTGTTGAGTATCGTTTTTAAAATGTTCAAGTAGTATTTGATGTTAATTTTTTTTGATAGTATTGCCAAGAATATACAGATAAATTTGATTTAATAAAAACTAATTTTGAATTTTTGGTGCTTAGATCACTTAAATCTGCCACACCTCAATTGTTGTTCTAATTCAGAAGTACAAAATGAATTTTTGTCAACAAAAAACAAATTGCTATATTTTCCAATTATAATGAATAAAAAATTTGTCCTAAAGTGTCACTATGACAGCATACTATTATTTGTTGAATATTCAAAATAAAAAATATTTATTTCATTTGTATGTTAGTGTCTTAATATTTACCAGTCGATAGACTTTTTAGTTTTTCTGTTGTTAATGACAATCGATTAATAAGTGGAGCAGAAGTTTTTTCCTTTACTGCAATAGCTATATCCTTTTCATTAGCATCTAGAATAACAGCCTGTTTATTTATTAGCAATTCAGCTAAACTGTAAATTGCTCTAGCTCTGTCCTCTGGTTGTAGTTTTTGTAACACACGGCTTCCATGACGTGCTAATAAAAATATAATTATCAAGTTTTATCAATATCTATTATTACATTCAGTGTCGTTTTATAAAGAATTTTCGGGTAGAGGAAGTTTAAAAATTAAAAACTAGTCATGACTTCCATTAATTAAAATCATTTCATGTTAAAGAAACATTTTTATTTTTATTAAAAAGGATAGTAAAAAATGTTATTATCCAAGGTGATTATTTTATCATTGACCACTTAATTAATCAAAAATCAGATATATTTACGAGAATTTTTTTTTTTAGGGGTGGTTAGTTGCAGACATATGACTAAAAACAAAAATAAAACAAGCTTTTCTTAGTTAAATAATAAAATTCATTCTTTTAACATTGTTATATCTGTGCGGAGGGAAAAGTGTGGCCTAGAAATGGCTAGTGATATAAATAACAAAGCCCGCGCCTCATCACCTACCGCCAATAAATTAAATTATTAATAATTTCTGAAATACTTATCCATTATTTATTGTCGACCTGTTATTTTATTAATCAGTTTATAACCTAAAAAATAAGGTATTTAAAAATGTATATTTAAAAAATTAAAGTTAACACCCTTAAAATGTATAAGCTATGTACATGAAAAATACATCATGATTAATAGAGAAAAACATAATTATTCCTTAATATAATATTTATTTTTCCATTAATTAAGTGGTTAATAATGACAAATAATTCGGAATTTAATACGGAGATGAATAGTGTTTTTGGTCCTCAATGAATTTTATTTATCTCAAAAGAGATATTTTTGTACAATTTTTATATTTAAGTAGCTATCTAGCAATAAAAAGTCAATAAAATGATTTTATTATAATTTTTATATATTAATTATACATATATATTTTGGTTTAGCTTAGGGGGTTTAACATAGAACACACTTAAATTACCTTTTAATTACAATAAATTATATTTTATATCAACGTATCTAATCCCAAAAATAAATGTTATGAGGTCCCAAATTAAGGCAATGTCTTATGTGTATTGAATGATAAAAAAATGAAGATCAATTACATATATGTTACTGATCTTAGTCCTTAGTTTATTGTAAATATTTAATTTAGATAAACGTTTATTTAAAGTCAGATAGTAATGTAAAAACACTTATATTAATAATTCTATAACATAATCTTAAGTGTAATATTGTATTATAATTTTAATACATCTATTGTAATTTATCATTGTGAATTTTTGTAAACTACATTAAAATGAACCAAACATATTATGGAGAATTNTTACTGATCTTAGTCCTTAATTTATTGTAAATATTTAATTTAGATAAACGTTTATTTAAAGTCAGATAGTAATGTGAAAACACTTATATTAATAATTCCATAACATAATCTTAAGTGTAATATTGTATTATAATTTTAATACATCTATTGTAATTTATCATTGTGAATTTTTGTAAACTACATTAAAATGAACCAAACATATTATGAATAATTGCAAAATTTTATTGTAAAAAAAAAATTGTTAAATAAATAATAGTTTAATAAATATTAATTAATAATTATTTTTACATTGCTATACAATTACTTCTAAGAATTATTATGATATTTTTTAATTAACGTATTGGATATAATGAGATAATTAAGTTATACATTATTAATACACTTATAAACTATGGTAATTTTAATTATAACGTATCAATTTATTATAAGTTGTTTGAATATTTTACTTTAAAATAAAAATAAAGAAAATACATTTAATACCTGAATTATAATTATGATTACAAAGTTAGTTAAATATATATTTATTTTTTTAATTAAATTAAACATTTTTATCTTACCACTCATCCCTTTTTTTGCTAACAAAAACTAATATCTAAGTTCCATGAACTTTAAGTTATCTTAGACATTATATCATGTTCAAAAGACAAATAATACTTAAGTACTGATTTTTCAATACTTTAATGTATTTAATCAGTAAATAATTATTTAAAAAAGTAACACATAAAGTGTTATAAAAATAACATCCTTATACATCTGAATAGGAATATATTCATTCATATAACAAAATTAGTAAACCACCAAAGAAAAATGTTCATAAATAATGTTAATTTACACTTACCATTTTCAGCTAATACTTCAACAGATGCTGTTTCGCTTGTCGGAGCGTTTGTAAAGAAGGTTCCAATTTTCCTTCCAGATATAATTGACTTGATAGCTTTTTCTTGCATACCATTGCAAATTACTACACTAACTCCTCTATTCAAAGCCCATGTAGCTGATCGCACCTATGATTGTAATATGTCACTATTTTATATAGAATACATATATTTTTTAATGTTTAACATAGATATTAATAATCAATATTTTAGAGAATTACACTTTATATTAGATACACAATGTAAATTTGTATATTATACATNCTTAGACATTATATCATGTTCAAAAGACAAATAATACTTAAGTACTGATTTTTCAATACTTTAATGTATTTAATCAGTAAATAATTATTTAAAAAAGTAACACATAAAGTGTTATAAAAATAACATCCTTATACATCTGAATAGGAATATATTCATTCATATAACAAAATTAGTAAACCACCAAAGAAAAATGTTCATAAATAATGTTAATTTACACTTACCATTTTCAGCTAATACTTCAACAGATGCTGTTTCGCTTGTCGGAGCGTTTGTAAAGAAGGTTCCAATTTTCCTTCCAGATATAATTGACTTGATAGCTTTTTCTTGCATACCATTGCAAATTACTACACTAACTCCTCTATTCAAAGCCCATGTAGCTGATCGCACCTATGATTGTAATATGTCACTATTTTATATAGAATACATATATTTTTTAATGTTTAACATAGATATTAATAATCAATATTTTAGAGAATTACACTTTATATTAGATACACAATGTAAATTTGTATATTATACATATTGTGTAAATATAAGACATGATTCTTCATATAAGAACAAAATACATATTGTCCAGATCTAACGGACAATAATGCCTATAACTTTAAATACAATTACCTATCATTTTGTTTTGTTTTTTTTAATTATTATTGCCTTCTTAAATTACGCTTAAAGTGTATTTTTTAATATAGTAATTATACTGATACAAATTATAATTTATATTTCTTTCTTATTTTTCCTCACCTTAATCCCAACTACTTGGAGTCGGCCAGGTAGTTATAAATTATGAATTATGATTTAAATTTATATATTTTACTGGCAAATTCATTTTCATTAAATTTTAATATGTATGTTTTTCTTCGAAAAATATTAAACATTTAGATGTTTAATGAACCTATTATTTTTGTTATACTACTCTAGGACACTTTTATATTGAGACGATAATAAATAAAATTAAATTTTATGTGGTAAACCTCAAAAAAGACATTTTTCCCATTCAATTTTTTACTTAAAGATAAAATACAATTTACGTAGACATATTTTAAGAATAGACTATTTCGCTAAGAGTAGGTATAGCATTTACTTAATAAATAAATAAAGTATAGATAAAAAATAATTATAGTAGCCAAAGATTAAATCATTTAAACTGAACTGTAACATTAGGCAATGTAAATTAAAAATACATATTTTTTCTTATCTTATCTTAGCACACACGGAAACAATTAATTTAATGACTGCTAAAATTATGTTTACAAAACGATGTAATGGTATTTACTGATTTACGTACGATTCATACAAACACTTTGTTTATGCAATTACAAAAAGTTTTATTATTCACCTTTGAATCCATGCCCCCAGTACCCACAGTTGATTTTTGACCGAATTGAATTATATCCACCATATCGCTATTATAAGTCCATATCATTTTTGCACCTTCTTGTTTAGGGGGCAGTGTATAAATACCATCTACATCTGACATTAGCATTAACAAGTCAGCTCTAATTTCAGCAGCTACCATTGCGGCTAAACTGTCATTGTCTTTGATACTGATCACCTGTAAACAAAAATTTTGCAATCATTTCTTTACTTAAAGAATCAAATAACAATATAACATAATAAAAAATAAAAAATCACACTTAAAATTAAAAAAATATCTGAACTATTAATTTAAAACTAAAAAAATATTAAAAATGTTAAACTCAAAAAGACACAGAATATACAAAAAAATGCGATAAAAGATTTTATTTTAATAGTAAAGGGAATTTGAATTTTTAACACAATTTTATTTGTTTATTAAATATAAAACTATAGAGTTTCAAAGTTTTGAGTTAAACTTAATATATAATAGACAAAGAATTACAAATACAAGTAGCTAATAGGTTTTTTATGAAGTTGCTATTGCAGATACAAAGCGTTTATTGTCAATTATGACTTTATCAATAGATATGCCCTCTATATTGCAAGTTAGTGTTTTAATAAACTCACAACGATGTGCCTTACTACCATATTTAAGAATATCTGTTTATAATAAATGGTGCGTGTCTGCAAATAGCGACGTTGAAAAAACCAATGAGCTACCTGTACTTGTAATCTCTCGTGTAATATATATATCAATTTACTTAAGAATTTTAACTATAAATTCTTCAATTTTTTTTTTAACGCTTTTTAGGTCCAAAAGAGGAAGTTACTTAACCACTGATATTCCGGGACGGATGGTTAATCTATCGACGGAGAGAAGGATGGCGACTTCAATTACCGAACTGATCTCTTGTTCGGCAAATTAATTCGCTCGTGACCGAGATTCGAACTCGAGGTAACTCGGCCATACCGTCCTCTCAATAATTCTACAATAATAAACTATATTTTTAACCCAATTTAAATAATAATAAAATCTCAGCCATGAAAGTGGTGAAACATTGAGTTTTTGCAATAATTTACAACGCAACAAATTAAAAAAAAAGGAACTTTCAAAGCTAATTTTAAGTTGGTTTCAATAAAATACCAAAGTTGAAATTCTTACCATAGAAGTCAAAAGTGTAATAATATTGTATAAAATGTGTGTAGTTTAATATTTTTTTTCCCACCGAAAAAAATCTATGATAAAATCGCCTAAAAATTGTTATTTTAGACAATTCAGAAAAAATATTATTATTTTGTCTGTGAGAGCATAGAATTATTATGGACAGACACAAAGAAACATATGAATAACAACATAATATTGAATATAAAATTTAGGAGAAAAGCAACTTTATAGATACATACCTTTTTCCCTTTTGACTTCATCTGTTCACTGTCTTGAGGGGGCGGTGTCACCGCATCATTTGTATTAATAATAGGAACAATGTTCAAACTGATTAGTTCAGACAGAGTACTCACGAGATTATTGCGAGTCTGATCATTGTAAAAATCAAGTTCCGTTACAAGTACTTGTGCTATTTTTACGCCATACTGAGAGAACATGGCATCATATAAAGACATTAAACCCGATTGACCGACAGCTGCTGCTGCTCTAGCTTCTAAAAGGGTTGTTACATCTTTCCTAGTATTATCTTTGGCTGCAAGGGTTTCTCGCATACTTAATGACATAAGTACTTCTTGGGTCAGTTTTTGCTTTCCAAAAGCCACTGCTCCACTAGTGACCATTATACATTCACGGCCTTCTAAATGACATTCAGCTACCTAAGAATGGAGTCGGTTAAGCTTTAAAGTAAATAAAAAACTGAGGTAATGTAATAAACTAAAGATAATAGCTGGAAAAAATCAATTTAAAACAATTACTTGTTCAACAATAGAAGCTAAGCGACCAAGAGCGATTCCATGTTCATCTTCTCTAGTTATTACGGCACTACCCATTTTAATGACAAGACGACGAGCATATTTCAACTGTGACCTGTCTGAAAATCCATTAACTTGAGAGTTAGCTACTTGTAATGCACGTCTCAAATCTAACTTCTTAAAATAAAAACAACAAAAATAGAATAATGTATGATTTTTCAATTAAATACTGCATATTAAAGATACCTGACTATAAGAATTCTTAGATGCATAATGTCGAATGTTCGGGGAACTAAATTTCAAACATCTGCATACCCTAATACGGCTTGATAACGCTGCTATATGACATTTTCGGTAGCCCAAGATCATTTTGACTGCTAGATAAAAAGTGATATTATTGCACAGTTGTGTTGTATGGTAAAAATAATACGTAATATATCAGTAAACAATTCTTCAGGAGTTTATAAGAAATTAATTTCAAAGAAATTTAACTTTAAAAAAAATAGTGTTAAGTAGTTAAATGAACACTAATTAAAAACAAAAGTAAATTGTTGCAGAATACTTACATTGAATAACACACTATAGTTATAACTAATTGACACTGCTTATTTAAATGTAGAATATTATTCTTATTTGATTTACAATGGATTTACCTATCGTTTGTTATTAACTAATAACGTGTTACGAGTTTTGAAATATTGAACCCTGGACAGTCCACACATCACATATTTATTTGAAAATGTTGATTATTAAACTGTATGATAAAATACAATAAGAACTCCGTTCCTTCAATTACAATTAATTACAATTATTATATCTCTCACTATTGCTGCCGGCAATAGCTACCAGTTTATCTATTCACTCTCCTTATCATAGATTAATATTTCATTTCATACGTAAGAAGAGGCAGATATTATTGATATTGTGAAGTGCCTATTACCTATATATGAATATTTTAGCGATTGTGATAAATTTACAATTGTAATACAACTTAAGTAAATGCAACAAACAATAGAATATTTATTAATAAATCTATATTATTGTTATACAGAGTGATCGATTAAGAATAAGAAACTCATTTTCTCAGAAACTATTAAATATTTTAAGTTTTTATAAAGGAAAATATTTTTTGATCCAAAAAACTCTATATAATATATTTAAATAATTACTTTTCAGGGATAAAAAACCTTAGGTTTAATTCTCTTAAATGGAAACCTTTGTTTATAGTTTCATTAAATATTTTAGCTTCGATGCGAAGCGGAGAAGGTATTAATTTTACTATGATGTGTTTTTTTTTTTTTTTATGTCTGTTGCCACTTTTTCTCAGCTCTCACTGGACCGATTTCTTTCAAAAATACGTCAAAAGATCACAAATCGTATCTAGTTGAAGACATTACCCTTAAAAATTGAAAAAAATTCCCTCGTTCCCCGCAAATGGGGGAAATATCCAAAAAAATTACAAATTTAAAAATCGCTAATTTTCGAAATTTTTTCACTTTTTTTTCTTAAAACTTCCATAACTTTTTGAAAAATCAACAAATCAACATAATTTTTTTTTATACTAAAACCTTAGATATTTACCTTTCATTTGATATCATTTTTTTGAAAATCTATCACTTAACCTGCTCATTGGGGGGGATTTAAAATGGCAACTTTTTTACAAAAATTAATTTTTTCAACTTAATTTTTGAAAATGTTCCGGAAAGACTGCGTCCTTTAAACATATATCAAATTAAAGCTTATTTTATGTACTACAAAATGAAAAAAAAAAATTTGTCCCGACACTTTTTTTTCTACATTTAAACGGCTGCCGTAGTTAAAAAAACACTATTTTTGTGTTAAAATTTTCGATTTTCGATTTTAAATTTTCAACTTAAAAATGCTATAACTTTTTGAAAAATGTATATATCAGCACAAATTTTTTTTTTCTAAATACATTATAAGTACATCTTTCATTTGACATACTTTTTATTAAAATTGGACAATTTCCCCTTATATAGGGGGCGTTCAAAACTTAAAATATTGTAAAAAACATAGATCTTTTTCAACTGAACTTTTGAAAATGTTCCGGAAATACTGCGTCCTTTAAACATATATCAAATCAAAGGTTATGTTATATACTATCAAATGAAAAAAAAAAATTTGTCCCGACATCTTATCTTCTATGTGCAAATGGCTGTCGAAAATTTAAAAAAAAATGTAATGTTTGCGATAAAAATTACATTTTATCGGGATGTTTTTTGTACTTAAAACTGCCATAACTTTTTCAAAAATGAACAAATAAAAATAATATTTTTTTGTATTGAAACCTTAGATATTTCCCTTTCATTTGATATAATTTTTTTTGAAAATCTAACACTTATTCTGCTCACTGGGAGGATTTAAAATAGTAACTTTTTTACAAAAAATAACTTTTTCAACTTAATTTTTGAAAATGTTCCGGAAATACTGCGTCCTTTAAACATATATAAAATTAAAGCTTATTTTATGTACTACAAAATGAAAAAAAAAAATTTGTCCCGACGATCTATCTTCTATACGCAAATGGCTACCATATTGAAAAATATACTATTTTTGTATGATAATTATGGGTTTTGTATTTTATTTTAATAGAAGTTGATGTTGCTTTTGCAATTATCCATCAATTTTTTAAAATTAAACACTATCTACAGATTTGCATCGAAGCGTTTCTTATGATAGTGATTTTAATCACTGTCAGATTAAATCTATACTGGACCCTACTATGCAATGTCTCCACTATGCTGCGACCCCACTGTGCTACCGTTTTTTAAATGTTCTTATAATTTTTTTTATCTGGTCAACTGCGTTTTAAAAATATTTTCAGGTTTAGATTGAAAATAGAAATTCATTATTAATTTGTTTTTTATAACGCCGGATGTAGAAATAATCAATTTCAAATGCCCATAAACTATTATTGGTTCTAATTTTTATTATCGTAACTGACAAGTTTGATAAAAAAAAAATTGTCAGTAAAAACTTTTTTATCTGACATTATGCTAAATAGCAAATTATAAGGGCAAGTTGATCAAAAATCGCTTAACTTTAACAAGTGATAACAGATGAACGGCTCATTGTATACAAAAAAAATTATAAACAATTTTTGTTATCATTGAATTAAAAATAGTATATAAGAACTAATTATATTTTTCAATGGTAATGATTCTTTGTAAGTAAAAAATTTGTTTAAAAATCTCAAATTTTCACAAAATATCTATTTTTATGTATATAATAGAGTTAAAAGGGTTCTCATTAAAATTTCGATGTTCGACTTATTTTTATCCATCCTAATATATATTTATTCAATTAAAGATCAAAATATGACGACATAATTGTTGAGTTTTAAACTTTAATTTACATGATATAAGATAAATGATATTTTATACCAACTACTTTTGTTTCACGCATTATTTTAGTCTAAAAGAAGGTTTCTTATATGTCTAAAAAATAAATTAATTTAAATATATTGAAAAATATTCCGAGTTCTCTAGTTTTATGTATGCTCATTGCCTTTAAAAAGTATCGCATTAAAAATGAAAAAATGGAAGTTTTTTAATATTTAAAAAGATAAAAATTTTATGACGATCACCATGCAAAGAGACTACAAATGCGTCCAACTTGAAACTTCATATCATTATCTTTTTAAGATGCACGGTCTAATCGTCTATTTTTATAACTACAGCCGAAATATTTTGTTAATAACATATGTATCCTCATTTATATGTTATAAAATATGTTTATCCCTTATACCTTAAAAGGGTATCAACATTATTTTTCTTTTACATACATACATAATAATTATAAAATAATGTGATTATTAAAATGACTGACTGGTAACAACTTTTGGATAGGTACTTCAGAAGATATAAACATTTTTATATTTAGACGGGAGAAAGAGTGAGACCAAAAAAAGTGTAATGATAAAAATAGGCATCACCTGTGCCTTACCTACAATCATTATTTTAAATTGTTAATCTTCTTTTTTCTCGCCTTTATACAAACTACTTGAGGTCGTTCCAATTTAATTACTTAATATAGTTAATAACTCCTGAAGTAGTTGACATCCCTAAAGATATGAGGAATGAACATAAAAAATATTTTATAACATAAAATGTATATATATATATATATATATATATATATAACTAAAAACGCCAAAAAAATAATTATTTTAAGAAATATTAAGTGAATATCGTTAAAAGAACCATACTGTAAAAGTTCGTCATTTCTATTCATATATCTTTGGTAGTATATACTATCAAATATATATTTAATTTTTAGATAATATTAAATCTTTTCATTGTGAAAAAATTTGAGGCGGGTTGATCCATAGTCAGTATATAAATCAGACACTGATATTTAAAATTATGTTAAATTAGTAATAATATTATTAGGTAGTATATATGACAACCGTATACATATAGTAGACTTTTTTTGGTAAGTTTTTTGTTTAGTAGACCATCTTGTCTATTGCAATGCACTGGCTTAATTATAGGAAGATATAATATCGAATCAATCAATAACGAAAAATAATTGTATGACAAAGATACAATTTTTTCACTTTAAAGAGAAACAAAAAAATTTCTTTTCTAAAACCACTTTAAAATCACTTTAGACATTAATGTAAAGTAGACGTTTTTAGTAAACGATATGACGTTTAAGCCTTTGTAAGTGTAAGAAAAGACTTAATACGATACTTTGGAGTACACTTATGGTATTGAAAAATGTGTGATAATGCTTCGAATTTTATTAATTTTTTTTTAAATAATTAGTTACCATAACGATTTACAAATAGAAACCGTTAGTAAACCGTTATTTAAATATTTTAAATCCATTTTTCTAGTAAAAAGTTACAATTTTCTTTTAATAGCCATTATTAAAAATACGATAGCTTGACAATTAAATTTTTCTAATAGAGAAATAAAGCTATATTTTTTAACAAACTATGACCATAAGTTAAATGAGACTAAAGTATATTTACAAAAATTTGTACATATTAAATTCAAAAGGTTTAGACTATAAAGATTACAACAAACAATTTTTTAAAGTAATTGAGTAAGTGTATTTAAATATTAATAAAGTATTAAGAATATTTTTTATTTCGGGTATTTGAGATGCACTTAAAATACTTTTATATTTATACATGTATTTGAAAGATACTTTAGAAAAAAATTAAATTATTAAATTTTAAATAATAGCGTATAGTGATAACATTATCTGATAGTCATAAAATATAGTTATAGTACCAGCCTGCTGAATAAGATATAGTACTGGTGGTGCATGAGCGTGGGATTAAAAATAATTTCAAACAAAATCTAACAATTATTGTGAATTGTATCGTTTTCTTACTATTGCAGTACATAATACAAACATTATCTAGAATCTGGCCTTTGTTTTTACATATTGTGTGTTAAACTATTTTGGAAGTTGTTTTTAAAGTATAATTAATACTAATTTTTCGTTCAAATTATCATGTAGTACATAAACTGTGTTAAGGTATCTAAAAATTATTTTTTGTATTAGACTTTATAAATTTGAATTAAAAAATACGATATTTATAACTTTAAAACTCACTGGTTAATCAATTAGTGAACAGTAGAACTGAATATTTTGAAAATGGAAAAATTAATTACTTGATTAAACACTAATTAACAAGTATAGAAAATATTTTTATGATGATGGCTGATTATTATTTTTTATATTAAATATGAACTTAAATTAAGATAAAAAAAGTGATAATATCTCTACACCGTTGACATTTCAAGCGTTGGGT